ATTAGTGTTGAAAATAAAATTAAAACTTTTTATTATTAAATATTAATATTTTTAACAAGTAAACCCTTCTAAAATTCAATTTGATTAAATGAGCACCGAGTACATAATTAAAATCATTCAAAAAAATAAAATTGATTTAAATTTTATAAATCCTTAAATTAAAATTTTGCATGTATTATTAGTGTTGAAAATAAAATTAAAACTTTTTATTTTTCTATATAAATTAATGAAAAAAATGTGTAATTTAATAATGACATTAAGTTTTTTAAGAAATAATAAAATTTAAATTATAATATTGATTATTGTAAATTAAAATTAGAATCTTAATCAATGTAAATTGAAATTATTATCTTAATTAATTATTACATTTGATATAAAATTTAAACTTGAAGAACAAAATGTTGTTTAAAAAGTATGTATTATATTTAACATTTTCTATAAGTTTAGATGGGCAACTTGTCTACATTCTCTTCATCTATGTTTTTGGGTCATGTGGCATGCAAGTGGTAGATTAGGTGGCACCATGTCAGTAGCTAAAAAGAATTCCATTAGTCTAGTTAATGGATATTGGTAGAATAGATCATTTTGATACAAAATTGATCATTTATGGATAACTTTGAGAGAAAAAAAATTGTTTTTAGACTAAACTAATATAAGCCACATAGTTAATAGACTATTTTTTAAATTTAACCTTTCTTTTTTGAAAATGTAAATGACATTTATTTAAAAGCAAGTCAAAACCCTATGTTAAGTCCTGAAACTTATCCAAGATTCTCGATTAAACTCCTAAAGTTTTATTGATGCAAATAAACTTTCAAACTTAGTGATTTGAGTAATTTAACCTCTCTCTTTTAAGATAGACTTAATGCTAGGTTGTGCATTGCTTGTGTGACAAGAGTTTGACATGTCATTACTTACAAGGCAAGTATTGACCTTATCTATGTAATCAAAACATAAATAAGTGTTAAGTTTATTATAAGGAAAATGGTTAAATTGCCCAAATCAACAAGTTTAAGAACTTACTTGTTGTAATAAAAAATTTAAGAATTTAATTTAAAATTTGAGATAAGTTTAGGGACTTAACATAAGGTTTTACCTAAAAGAAATTACTGAAGGCGCCTCATGGCGCGCGCATATAAGTTTTTCTAGGTCTATGATTGGTTTTAATCCTTGGCCGCTAGTTGGAGGGACAGACCCCAAGGGTATAGGTGGGCATGGTTTTGGTTTCCATGGCAAACAAACTGAATTTCTTGTTAATTAAATTTTTTATTATTGAATTTCGGAAACAATTAATCAAATCGAAAATTTTATGTTTTATCAATTTTGGTTAATTTTTTAAAAAATAATCATTTGATTTGGTTTCGGTTTTAAGTAAAAGAATTATTTTTATATTTTTATATATTTTAAAATTTCTTAAATGTTATTTTATCAATTTCGATCACTAGAAAAATAATAATTACTCAATTAAAAAATTAATTTGATAGAAAGTGACGAGATAACCTTAAAAAAATCTATAAACTATTAAAAAAATGATATAAAAGGTTTTTAAACTTGCTTTTCTTTATTATATTTACTTTGGGAAATGATGTGTGCACACC